CCCCAAAACCCCAAAACCCCGTGATAATGTTATTGAATTTTAAATTCAGAATTTCTAATTATAATTATATTCATTTGTTTTATTGATTCGTTACTTCCATAGATATCAGACTTTCATTTTCCGTTAGTCTAAATTAATCCTAATCTGCGTCAAATGTATCTCTATCTTTCGCGTTCTATAAAAATTTGTCTTCCTCATCTCCTTAAATTTGCTATGTGCTTGATATTCTGATAACTTCTACACTTTACCTTTAAATTATAATAGGTGAACTATTAGAATCTGTCAAGCCTCCCAGTTTCAATTATTTGTTCTGGGACTTTGCAGTTTGCTTCTCTGCTCTCTTTTACTTAATTAGGCTTTGTGAAGTTTTGTTATAATTTTTTTAGCTTACTTAATTTTGATTGTTTTGCATTTAATCCTTATGCTTCTGATTTAATCTTAAACTGATTTGATAATTTGATTTCAATTCTCTAAATTTTTTGCCTTTGGTATTAGGAGGCTTATGAGATTAATTTTATGTTGTGAAGGTATCTGAAGACCCATCTTCAATAGAAAGTGCAAGAAATTCGCTTTCATCATCAACACTTATTATTTTACAAGCTAAATTCGATTTTGCTTTCTTCTTTGCAGAGAATTATGATCTTTTCAATTTTGAGTTTTAATTATTACTTTATTATTCATTTTCTTACTATGAAAAACTTGATTCCTCTTGATATATTGATCTGTATTATTTAGATAGGCGCTTTCTTTGAAGTCTCTCAATTCAAATTTCATCTGTTTGTGTCTATTATTAGCATTCAGTTTGCCTATTTAACTAAAACGGTTATACTTCTTTATTGTTTTAAATATTGCCATTTAATTTTTGTAAATTCCTTTTTGCCTTTTTCAGCTCTTTCCTTTTCTTGCTATCACAAATCAATTCTTCAGCTCTCATGAGTGAAGATAAAATTGATTCTTTTAAGAGCTGTAAATGATCATCCTTACTCTTTACTTACATTTTGCTCTATGATTTTCACCTTTCTAAATTTACTGGTGATTATTTTGACTTCAACTGTAGCTCACAATCAGTCTTTTAATTTCTTATTGGCTCTAGAACTATCGATTTTGGTTTAATCTAGGTTTAAGTAGACTGAGTGCTGTTACTCGATTAATTTTAACTTCCTGGAACTGACTTCCTCTCTAAGCATTTTTATTTGATCTTTAGCAATCTGTATTAATCTCGAGCTTAAGCATAAATCTATGGCTAGTTGACAAGTGATGTTTTCATTTCAAGGACTGATGAATAAATATCATTAATCAAATTTTTCTACTTAAGAAATTTCTTAATCTGCATTGAGTTCTCTATGCTTTATGACTTCTAACTGATTGCATAATTTAGTATTGAATTCTAGATATGATTCATAATTCTATTGTTTGAAGTTGATTTGTTAAAACAGCAAGTTGCATGTTTTCAGAATCTTAATCTACTCTTACGTAATCTCTGAGTTAGCATGCTTCAGTATTTTATACACATTTGAATATTTGTTGAATTTCCTTCCTTAATTTTGGAGGCAAAATTTTTCTCTATATCTGAATACCCCAAACTAATCTGATGATTCATATCCGTATCTTTTGTAGTTTTCTCTAATTAAGCCATTGCCTCTCAATACTCTTTAAGCCTTCCAATACTCAAAAAGATTAATAAACTCCTTGATGGTAATATCAAAGTTCATATATTCTTTCTCAGAAGCTAATGCTCATCCAAGATAGCCCTTGTGGTTTTTTGTGAAATCTACATAAATCTCTAAAGGGTCAAGATCATCGTACTTTTGGTCAGCAGTATACTCTCCCATAAACTTTTCAAGAATTTGAAATAGCATTTCCAATTTTCTTATTTCGAAATTCTATTTTTTACAAAATGTATAATCCTATTCACTTGCGGTGTATCTTGAATTTATATAATTACTAGACTCTTATAAATCTCTATTCCAAATTATATAAGGTTTCACTTTTCGCTATTTTTCTTGTTCTAAATCTATCTATTAAATGCTATCTTTCTGAGAGGACGGATTGACATTTGGTATCTAAATGATTCTTTACTTTTGCTTAAATGCCTTAATGACTGGATCGATATCACTAATGATAATTTATTAGATTGACTCTATATTATATATAAATATTAGTGTTATTTACTTTGAGCTGTTCTCTCCATGAGCTATATAATTTCCATTGGTATTAACTGCTAGTAATCATTAAGGAACAAGAGTTGTTCTTTCCAAAACTTATCAGTTGGCTTCCTAAAGCTTTGTTTGTTGGTTTAGTGAATTTTCATCTGGAGGAGATTGAACAATTCGGGTCACACAATTATAAACTTATTAATAAATAAATAGTCAAATTTTAGACAACTAAGGGTCCGAATAAACGAATCATTTTAATATTCAAATCTAAAGAATATTTGATTCAGGCTATATTTCGAGTATATCACTTATATAATCATGATAACTAAAAAAATCTATTTTTAGACTTTAATTAATAATATTCAATATATTTATAATCTAGTGTAATCTTGTCAAATTCTCCCTCACGGGGTTTTGGGGT